GGCGAACCCAGAGCCAGCTATTAAGCAGCCAGAAAGCAACAGTAATTGAATACATGACCATTTCTCTTTTAGCATGTTCTTTGCTTTCCTCTTCTAGAAGTAGTAGGCGTCTGTTTAGTTTGATTATCTGTTGTCTTAATGAAGCTCCATCTACAATAGTCATGTCATCCTCTGTTCCTTCAATTGTTGCATCTACATTTGAAATGCCATACATAGCATCGTTTCTGACCAGCTGTTCACTTTGGCAGACAGCATTTTCACTCATAGAACATTCTCTTTTTAGCCTGCCAACTGCACGGATTTCATCACTTTGAGGAGTTGGAGAAGGTCTTTCTAAGTCCAGAAAATCTAGTGGTCTCTCGCTTAGTGTATGTACACGAGGTGGTGTTTTTGGTGCCAGAGGTTTTAAAGGAGGAGACTGAATAAGGTCAAGATCTGCTGGTCTTGAAAACGAAACATCTTCATTATTTCCTGCTACAACAATCGTCTCTGGAACTTGCATTATCACACTAGCATTTGGAACTCCTTCTTGGAATCCTTGTTCCAGGTCAGCCTTTGGTGGTGCGACTTTTAATTTTTCTGGGACCCTCATTCTCCGACTAATACCTTCAGTGTATTCCATTTCATATTGAATTCGACTAATTTCTGCCATCTCAGCAGCAGTGGGAGAAGGAAATGCTGCCACGCTAACCAAATGTGTACCAACTACTGCTCGTTGTCTGGCACTATCTGCTTCTGAGCTTCACATTAATCCTTAACTTGCTTCCCGTGCATGGGCTGGACATGGAGCCTCGTCAGTCCCCCTGGGCCCCCCGGAGCTTCCCGGACAGGGCCGCCGATCGCTGGCTCCCAAGGCGCTCGCAGAGGCCATTGGCCGAGCACCTAGGGCACCCTGGGTGAGGCACCTGCGGAGCAGCCCCCAAATCTTCTTTTTAGGATTTAGCTCCTTGTCAGACTCTCCAGGGAAAGCATCAAAAGTGACTCTGTCTCCAGTAACAGATGTGTCAGGAAGAGACAGGATTTTGACCTTCTCTGGTGAACTGGTACACAATACCATCGCCTGACACAGGACCCTCCCTCATCTTTGCAGGCTTCAGATTGCAAAGCAAATCAGCAGATTTTGTATCTGTTCAAGAGGAATGTGATTCACTAGGCCACTGATGACTATTCTTGGGGCTGCTTCTCCAACATCTATTTCTTCTACATACAAAGAATCTGCATCAGGGTGTTTTTTGGCATTAATGATTCAGCCAATTCAAAGATCCGGGCAGGAAGCATCTACTGACTTGAAATCAGCACTTCCTATTGCAAATGGCTTTTTCTCCTTTGTTTTCAGTTTTTTCTTTCACCTTTTCTTCTCCCCCCTTTTTATCTGTTCTTTGGCACCGGATGATACAGTTATTGGTGTAGACTTCTGCATTTTCAGCAGTCACAGAATTGGCTTGCAGTGGACTGTATGATGGGAATGGGCATGGTATTTGTTTCACTCAATTCTGAATTTCAGCCTAAATCAGCTCCTGTTTCAGTTCTTTAATTTCTTCCTTCAGTTAGCATTTTCTTTTTTCTTTTTCTTTTTTTTTTTTTTGGTGGAACCGGGGATTGAACTCAGACCCTTGCGCTTGCCAAGGAAGTGCTTATTCCACTGATCCATCTCCCCAGCTCCAAGTTTAGCATTTTCAACTCAAAGTTTTTTCTTTTCTCTCAGTGCTGCCTGCAAAATCACTTTTTCCTTGAGAAGAACAATTTGCTGTTTAAGATATTCAATACTTTGATCTGCCTCTGCCCCCTTCTCTCCAGACTCTTTAGAACAGCCTCACTGCTTGTCATTTTTGCCAAAATTTTGCCTTTTTCTAAACTTATAAACCTACATAATTTTTTTTCAAACCAAATTGGTAGGATAGTTTCAATAATTAACACATTGCATACATTCTTCCTAGTGGTTAATTGCTGCACAAGGTGAGGACATGATATTCTATTTACAAACACTATTAGAACAAATCCCTCTATTCATTAAGAGAATGTAACTATATATCTATTCTAACCATTTTGAATACACAGATACAAAATGGACATTCATCTGTATCCTCTTTTTTTTTGTTAAGTTCCATTATTT